GCACAGAGGCCAGCCTGCCGCAAGTGCTGGGGGCAGTGAGGTTTACCCCAGCCCAGGCCTCTCCTAACCTCTGAGCACAGGTTGGGGGGTACACAGAAGCCAGCCTGCCACAAGTGCTGGGGGCAGCAGTCGAGGTTTCCCCCAGTCCAGGCCTGTCCTAGCCTCATGCTGGGCCTGCACAAGTAGCCAAGGCCGGAGGCCAACTCTTACGCATTTGTCACACAGCAGCACACAGGGCCACACAGAGGTGGGGATAGCTCACGGAGGAGCCCAGGAGGGCTTCATAGAGGAGGTTCCACATGCACTCGGCCTAGACCCCAGGCTGAGGGGAGAGGAGGGTGTCCGTGCAGAAAGAACAGTGAAGGTGAGGTCAGTGGCACCCAGATAGCTGAGGAGGTGAGACCTTCATTGTGCCGAGATCATGGACACATGGGAAATGGAACACAGATCAGGCCGTAAGAGAGAGCCTTAGTGCGCAAAGGCACTGAACTCCGTCTCAAAGCGCTTAGGTGAATAGGGGCCTTACGTGAAAAAAGAAAACACTTGTGGAAAAGAAAATATTAACGTTTTCCCCAGTTCAAAGCCGGTGAGTTCCCGGTCACAGGTTGGCCTTGGATGGTTGAGACCGAAGCGAGAGGAGTTGCTTTTTGTCTGAGAACAGGAAAGTGTCAGTGCTGCCAGCAGCCGGGGAGACGCCCAGATGCGGTGGGACAGCAGCCGGCCAGGAGCAGATGCCGAGGATTACTCAGGCATTCTTTGAAATCCGCTGCTTGGGGCAGGTGCGAGTGTCCGCAGTGAAGCTTTCTCTCTGCCTCCCACCTTGGAGGCCATGGCACTGAAGTGAAATTCAGGGGTAGACTTGACCAGGCTTACTTTGGTGGTGTGAGAAGCTGGTGTTGAGGATGATCCTGAGTTTCTGGTCAGTAGCCTCTCCTTCCTGAGGTGGGAAGGCTGAGGAAGGAGGCCCTTGGTGTGGCTGAGGAGGCTGCCGCGCAGGCCCCGTCATTTAGCAAGTGACAGCCAGCCGATGCCCTCACCACCCGGCTGGCTCTGCACCTCACCAGGCTACGCCCCTGTAAGTTCATGAGGTTGTGTGCTGTGGCCCCACCCGCAGAGCTGAAGACCCGCAAAGGCCTGTCTCCGGGGAGTATGAAGGGTCTGCTTGTGTAGAGGCGCCCCGGTGACACGGGGGTTAAGAGCTCGGCTGCTAACCAAAACGATCAGCAATTCGAATCCACCAGCCACTCCTTGGAAACCCTGTGGGGCAATTCTGCTCTGTCCTATAGGGTCGCTATGAGTCAGAATCAACCCCACGGCAGCGGGTTTGGATTTGGTTTTATTTGTGTAGATTTGGGAGTTAGCCAGATACAGGTGACCATAGAGGTGAATATGAGTGCATTTGTAGAAGATCTGAAAAGGGCATCAGTTCAGGCTACTCAAAGCCTTTCCTTTTCTGGGCATTTCCAGGTTCTTGGTGGTGGCTCAGATGGGGGCGGTGCTGAGGTACTAGAGGAAGAAGCCTTCTTCCTCCCACAAGGCGCTGGGTCTGCTTGCCCAGGCCAGTCAGCCTGCGGAGGGACTGCTCTGCTGGGCCTGCCCTCTTGTCCTCCAGAGCTGGGGACAGGTGGAACATGGCCCCGAGAGCATCCTGGGAGTAGAGTGGCCCCTCCTCCTGGACAGAGAGCAAGCCCCACCCTCTCTGCTGAGACCCGTTCTGTGTCCAGGGTTGGGGGATGAGTGCTCAGTGTGAGTTCAGAGGCCTGGGCCCTAACCCCGCCTTGCCACTGGTGAATGGGACGCCTAGACAAGCCGCCTTCCCGCTGTGAAACAGGCCCACAGTGCCTACGTCACAGGGGCACCTGGGCACCAGAGGGTCTGGCAGGAAGGCAGTGTTCTGGTTCAGACTGAAAAGCTCAGGAGCTGACTCGTATCATCTCTCCCCATGTCCAGGAGGAAAGCAGCCTCCCAGACAGACAAGCCGGCCGATAAGAGGGAAGATGAAAGCCAAACAGTAAGCAGTCCCCTGCCCACCCTCTACCCACGTGCCTTCCGCTGGCATACGGGAGCCAGCAAGGCGCTCTGGCCCCAAGCCGGGCCTCCGCGGCCCGGAGGTGCACGAGTTTGGGGTTGCAGAACTGTGAACTGGGCGGCCTCTGCAGCACCACACCCCCCCACCGTGTCTCCCCTGACACTGACCTGCAGCACCCCCCCACCATGTGTCCCCTGACACTGACCTGCAGCACCACCCTGCCTTGTCTCCCCCAAAACTGACCTGCAGCACCAGCCCGCCATGTCTCCCCTGACACTGACCTACAGCACCCCCCGCCATGTCTCCCGACACTGACCTACAGCATGCTCCCGCTATGTCTCCCCTGACACTGACCTGCAGCACCCCCTCGCCTTGTCTCCCCCAAAACTGACCTGCAGCAGCCCCCACCCCCCACATTTCCCGCAACATGACCAGCTTCCCCCCGAGCTGTCCCTGCTCTGCCTGGGCTCAGGCCTGGGGGCAGACAGAAGGAAGCAGAGCCAGAATGCCCCTAGGCGCTATGAGGGAGGCACGGCCCTGGGGAGCCCAGGACGTGGAGCTGCAGCAGCTGGCCCTCCAAGGGCTGTGCCCACCACAAGCAGCAGGACGGCTCCAGAGACAGAGCAGACGAGTGATGAATCGGGCCTGGGCTTTAGAACGCCCGTTTTGGCAGCAGCATTGATGAGCCTGTGGGCTGGCTGGGGACAGAGATAACCTCTGGAATGGACCTTACCACTCCTTCCTCTCCGTGACAGACCAGATGCCCCTCCCACACTCAGGTTTCTAGGACGAGGACTGTGCCCCAGCCAGCCCTGGCCTGTGGCGTAAGAGCCATACCCACGTGGCCAACCCACCTGCATGGCACCCACACACCAGCCTCACACAGCCCTGAGAGGTGGGCCCCACCCAGCAGAGGAGCGTGCGGGGCCTGGAGTATGAGACACGAGGTCGCTCAGATTCCAGGCTGTCTGGGTTCCCCGGTTGTGGGGCGGGTCGGGGCAAAGACAGCAACCTGCACAGCCCCAGTGAATCAGCCCGCCGTGCTCACAGCCCCAAGGTGACGAGTGTGCCGTGGCCCCTCAGCACTCCGTCCCCAGAGGGCAGTGGGGCCAGAGGACACCCTGTCTCCTCCAGCCTTCCCGCCCTGACTCTCCCTACCGGGATTTGGGGTCTTCAGTTTGCAGAAATGTTTACTGTTTTGCTCATTATAAAAGTAACATATGTTCTTTTGGAAAATTTGGAAAACCGAGGCTTTCTGAATGACGCTGATCCAAAGGCCCCCTGCCCTCGCCCCAAGCAGCCTTTCTCTCTCCATTCCAGGAGGATCCTAGCACCTCTCCATCGCCAGGGACCCGAGCAGCCAGCCAGCCTCCTAACTCCTCAGGTGAGGGGTGCTGCTGTGACCCACTGCAGCTCGAGGTCAGCCGGAGGGCCTTAGGAACATGTTAGTCTGACCCAGCCTCCTCACTTTACAGATGAGCAGAGAGGCCCCGGGGAGGCTGTGCAGTGGGGCCCCTGGAGGAGCCCCTGGCCTCAGCTGGGGCCTCCATACCATCTCAGAGGGGCTGGGCAGGAGCATCTAGCCATGTCCTCCCCAGGGGGTGGCCACTTTATCAAGACACCATAGCTTGTCAGACACCAGGGCCCCGAGGCTCACACAGGGGGCAAAGCTCGCCCAACGTCACATACTGAGTCAGATGGAAAACTGGCCAAGGCCCAGGCTGTCCAGAGGAATGTCCCAGTGCTAGAATTCATGTCACCCTCTGAAATGCCAAATGCCACCCTCTGAAATGCCAAATGCCACCCTCTGAAATGCCAAATGTTGGCTGATGACAAGATGGCCAGTCAATCTTGCTGCATCAGAAACAGTGAGAAGCTTGCGGGATCTGTGGACAGTCTGGAGTCTCAGGCTGGACTCAGGGCTGGTGGCTTCCCCTCGACCCCTGGGGATTTTCCTTCTGCCTCTCTGCTCATCCTGCAGAGTCAGCAAACTCCATTCAGTCCAACAAATCTCTTGGAAAATGAAACATCATTGTTGTTAGTTGCCATTGAGTCAATTCTGACAACTCAATCCCGTTGCCGTCGAGTCGATTCCGACTCATAGCGACCCCGTCGGACAGAGTAGAACTGCCCCGTAGGGTTTCCAAGGAGCAGCTGGTGGATTTGAACTGCTGACCTTTCAGTTAGCAACCAGGCTCTTAGCCACTACACCAAAATGAAGCATAACTGTTGTTAGTTGCTGTTGAGTCGATTCCAACAACTAGTACCACTTAAATTTTTAAAAAATGAGAAAAACAAGCTTTCGGGCCCAGGATGAGAAAGAGCTACATGGCCTGTGCTGGGGGACTGAAGAGTGGTCATAAGTAGCAGGCACATGGGGAGCACGGGGCCCCCAAAAGAAACGGGAACACAGGGCTGCACTGAGAGCATCCGGGAGGGGCTCCGCGGCCCCCGTCGGCCGTTGCCGGCGTTCTCCCGTCTACTCTAGAAGGCAGGATCAGGGGTCCTTGACCAGCTGGCTCGTGTTTCAGGGAGAAGCCCAGCATGGTGAGGCCCACAACCAGGTCATAGCCAGCAGAGTGGAGGGAGGGGGCGTGGGTCCTGGAGCAGAGAGCACCGGGGTCATGGCGACCCCACCCACGGCCTCTGGGACTGCCCCAGGACAGGGACAGGAATACAAAGCCAGGTTTGAGCTCAGCACCAGGCTGACCTGCCTCACGGGGTCGGGGCCGGGGCTTCCTGCTCGGGTGCATCGGGGGTCGGGGGCTGCCACCGGGAGTCCTGCCAGCTCTGACTCTTCACCCCTACATGGTCCAGAGGCTGGCCGGAAGCCCTGGGAGCGGAGCAACTCAGTGGAGAAGCCAGTGTCTTCGTTACTGTCCAGGTGAGCCACCCTGGGGAGGCCGTGTGCGTCCAGCGGGCTGAGGCGGCACGGGCTCCGGTTCACATGTGTGCTTCATTCCATTGCCCTAGAACCCCGTCTGTGGCAAAGAGCCCCGAAGCTAAGAGCCCCCTTCAGTCACAGCCTCACTCTAGGTACCGTCAACCCTCTGCCCACGTGTCCCCCAGTCTCTGGGCACCTTTGTCCTTTACCCCATGACTAACACCCCCACGCCCTGTCTCATGTCTTGTCATTTAACAGTGTGCTCTGGGAAAGGGGGTCTGTTCTTCTCTCAGACCTGGGAAGGTTGGAGCTGGAGGGACTTTGGGGTCAGACAGCCCAGCTCCTTCCTCCCAGCTCTATGGAGTGGGGGTGCGGGCAGGAGGAGATGGAGGCCTGGCCCTGGACTCATGATTGATGACATTGGACAAGTTAGAAGACCTCTCCCAGCCTCCATGTCCCCCTGTAAAGTGAGGTCTGTTACTGCCTGCCCCCCATCCCCAGAGCGATGTGTGGATAACTGTATGAGCAGCTTCCAGTGCCCGGCATGTGCTGGGAGCACCCTGGCCCCCTCAGCTCCACTGGTCCCAGGGCTGGCCAGCCCCCCAGCCCCCTCAGCTCAGGCCTGTCTCCTCTGTGTGCAGCACACAGAGCCCGTCGTAGCTCTAAATGTACCGACCATATTTCCCAAACCAAAAGTTGTGTGACAACAGGGTGAAATGTTTGGAACTGAGGTTGCCCAAAAAACCCAAGACAAACAGCCTCACAGTAACCATCAGCCCAGTGTGGCCTGATGGTGACGGCCTCTAGAACTGGTTCTAGGAAATGTCTCCGTGGTCCACCACCAAGAGAAGGGAAGCAACTCACCACAGAGCAGGTGAAGTTTGACCTGGTCCTGAAGGATGAGGCGAGGCCCAGCCAGCCAGGCTTGGTCGAGGGCCTCTGGTCAGCCCCGTTCTGTGCTGGGCCAGTCCCTGCCCACAGGAGCTTCTTCTCTGTGGGAGGCCGCGTGCAGCGCTAAGTAGGACCGACAGCCTGGTTGTGGGAGGCGCTCTAAAGACAGGCTGGCAGGGGGAGTCGGGGAGATGGAGGGTCTGCAGTGAGTGGGGCGGGGCAGGCTGCTCCTGAGGTGACCTGTGAGCTGAGGCCTGGAGGAGGATGAGACTCATGAAGGTCAGTGGGGACAGCTTTCCAAGCTTAAGGAAGAGCGGGTGCTGAGGCTCTGAGGTTACAGTCAACTTGGTGGGTCCAAAGAACAGAAGGTGACCAGTGGCTGGAAACAGCACGGGGTAGGGAGATCAGTGGAAGGGTGGGAAAGTTGGGTGGTATGAAGTTTGGGTTCAGTGTATGGGTGGCACTGTGTGCGGTGGGCCCCGTGAGGCGGGCGGTGCCCCATGTCTGGTGGGCCC